CAAGAGCATTTTCCCGCTTCCTTTCTTTCTAATTCTTTATCATTCCTTCTGCGCTGTTCGGCGACGGGGGACACTTGCACTTTCGCAGCTTCAGTAGTTCCGGTTTACAAGTCTCACTCTGGTGGAAACCTGTGAACTCTTGCGTAGCTGGAGCAAGCTCGTCCAGCCACCATGATAAAACCTGTCAACTCTCGTAAGGCTCTCTCGATGGCTCGACACGTCGATGGGAAGTGGCAAAAAGGAAAATGCCTGCGCCCGTCGCCGAATTGCGCCCATTCCGTCCTCACAGATGGGCCATTTAGCACCTACAGTTTCACGATTGAAACCCATTATCCCCACCCTGCTATCGTGGATTATGCCCATAAAAGTAAATGAAACATCGGCATAGCTTTTTAGAGAAGAGATGTCATTGCTGGGTGTGTTGAATAACTACAACCGCGGTAACTACAAATTAAATCCAGTAATTGTACAAGAAGAAGACTACAACGTCTACTACGGCGGTATCAGCAATGGCCTTCTATGGCCAGCTTGCACAATCTGCCGGAGTATATCGTCCCCGATTACGACACGCCAAAGGTAGCTGATTACTGTGAATACACACAAAGGATAGGAATTAGTTGGGATTTCATCTTTATTTTCAAGATTTTACGAGATCATTGGTGTGCCTACGTACGTGTCAACTACCAGTTCGCTATTGATGCGGTGCGGAACAGTCGGCCACAGGTTGTCACTCTCCCTTACTCGTTTTTGATTCCAACTGTCTGCGCGGGTAGTGTTCAGGCGCTCTTGCTTCTTGAAATTAGGCTCACAAATTAAAGGTCCACATAGTACGGCAAGACGGGGGGCGTGTCGCATATACACCATGCTCTCGTGGGTGATCTTCCGTTCGCTTAATACATGAAGACCAAAGCCACTTCTACCGTCTGGGACTCTCACAACAGTTCGCCATTAGAGCATCCTTGTTCTGTCCACCATAAGCACCCCTGGCATTTCTTTTTTTGACGTCGCCGGTCCTTATAATCGCCTCGTGACAGTAAAGCTAAGGAAAACTTCCAATCAAACGCCTGTCTCCGCCCATGTGAGCAACAGTGTGCAGTGTGCCCACAGTCGAACAACTGCTCCATGAAAATGGAAATTTTAGGACTTCATATGGATTCACGACTATCATTTAATGTTAACAGGACTGGTGATGCAGTCACTGGATCCAAATCTGGAGGTAAGGACCAAAAGGGGTGGTTTTTCCTCTTTTACTATTCATTTTTAGTTGCTACCTAATTACTTCCATATTCGATTCAGGTCGGCTTCTTCCTCACATACCATTTCAACCACCCGAAAACTTTTTCACAAAGTACGTCACCTGTGGACTGCCAGTCTTGAGAGGACTTTTGAGATTCACAAAGGTCAGGCTTCTTTTTTCTCTTAGCTTGTGAATGACATGGTTTAGCGAGAGAAAACAGGGTTTGTTCCGGAAGAAAATTCCCCCTTAAGGGGCAGTGTGAGGAAGTACGAGTGGGCTCGACTTGCTTGGATGAATGATGCGGGAATGAAATGCTTCCGTAGGGCTACTGCGGCGAAATGCTCCATACGCGCGACTCTCCCCACCTCATCCCTAATCATCTAGTCGGTGCTGTCCCATGTCCATCATCTTGGCTTACTAGCAGAAAACATGTTCAGGTGTTGACAAGCAGTACAGTCTCGTTTTTTCTCTGCGAAACAGGGGAGGCCGTCGTCAGTGGAAATTGAGGTTTTTGGCGTGCGGGCGGCCAACCAGGATGGAGCTACGACAGAACCATCTCGCTTTGACACGGCTGTCATTCGTAGCGTAAGAGGGTGCAAAGCGAGGGCGGCCTTAATGTGATTAATCCTATACTCGCCCATATGAACTATCGAGAACAATTTCCTTGCAATCTTGGGCCCGTCTTTCAGATGAAATCCTTCAGCTAACAGTTTTGATGCTTGTAGGAAAGCGTTCACAATTTCCAGGTTGGCTTTCAAGCACATCGCGATCGAGCCAAGTATCTAGAACTGGTTAAAGAACATCTGAAGGGTGTTGTCATCACTCACGATAACAACATGGATATTGACACAGGTGAGGTGCTTACCAAACGCAAACTGAAGCACCATTTGAAGAGAACAAAATCTTTCGTCGGTTATGTGTATCTCCACGGTACCTTGGGAAAAGAGTTCGAACGAGAAAAAAGATTGAGAAAAAGAAAAATAAAAAAGAGAAGTGCCCGTTGAGCTGTGAACTCTCACTTCTGCTCCTCTGGTACAACCCCTTTCCCCACCTTACCCACTAGTTTGCCATTTTTTCCTAATTTTACCAACTTCCCATTGGTTTTTGGAAAATTTCCCATTAGGGCCAGGTACGAACCCCCACGAATCCTACAGCGACCAGGTGCCATTCACTTGAGATTCTCTCAAAGGTGCTCTACCGTGGTGCCATGGATCCCCCTTCAAATCGTCGACTAATTTATGATAATTTGTTTTGTTTTTTCGATTTTCTCTTTTCTCAACGGCTTCTCTTCAAAAAACTATTTTAGTAACTCACGAGGGATGGACGTGCTCATTGGGAGTGTTCCCAGTCAGTATAAAGAATGATGACTTTTTGAAGTTTGTACATATGCCGGAATCCGTGGTGAAAAAGGAAGCAATAAGGACAAAGGTAATCGACACTTTTTTTCACAATCAGAACCATTTTCAATTTTTTTCACATCTTTGTTGCTTTTGTATATAATTAGTGAATATATTCAGATTCTCGGCGACAATCCTCCGAAAGGTTCACGATTTTTCTTCTCTGTTGAGCGATTCGACTATACCAAAGGAATCAAGGAGAAACTGTTAGCTTACCGGCGATACTTCCAGAAATATCCTGATCGCATCGGGAAAGATGTTCTCTTATCAGGTAATGTTTTCATGAAATATTTATCTGGTGGCTCACTGCGCTACCACATGGCTTACAATTTAATTTTTACGTATTGATCTTTGCTTTACGTTTTCTGACCATTTCATGACCAGTTAGAGTTGAATTTTTAGGTAGCTGTGACGAATCGTCGTTCTGTGGATACGTATCGAGTGTACCAGGACGAGTGTATAGAACTTGCGAAGAAAATCGTCGAAGAATTCAAGGATCCGCAACGACCTGAGTGGAAGCCCCTCATCTTCCAAACTGATGGTTAGTACATAAGTTGGACCACCGTAACCTTTCGAAGAAGTTGGACCACCGTAACCTTTCCGTTTCTGCACACCTTCTGAAATAGAAGAGTAGGGGGTCATTAAGGAGGGCAAAGTGGTCGGAGAATTCGCTCAAATGCTTAGATGTGTACCTGAAGAAGTTATCTACAAGATAACTGTTACTGTGCGGCATAACTAATATTAGCTTGGAAACGGAATGGTTTTCAATTTATCATATTGCCTTTCTCTTTCTCAACATTTTTTATTATTTTTATAACTTATGACACCACGAAGGTGTTTTTCTATAATGAACGGACGAGACATTGGGTGGGGTTTATTCAGGTATGTATGTAGTTGTTTATTTCAGGATTACCGCGTCCAGAATTAGTAGCAGCATACATGGCTATGGACATCGGAATTGTAACGCCAAAGAAGGATGGCATGAACTTGGTGAGCTTTAAAAAGTTTGTTCAAAAATGTCTCACCATTACAGCGAACACCTGAACGGAAAGTGAGTTTTACTGCAACGGCGAACTCCACACCTCTTATTACTTCAATTTTCTCGTTTTGTCTGCGTTCTCTGGTTTACATATGTAGCACCCCGTGACCACCTTGGCCCCTGCGCTTCAGGGTTCTACGACAGAGCCATGCTGAAACTTTGAGTAACCGGGAACCATTTTCTATTCAGCGCAACTTCGCCCTGTTCTCCAATATATCCTTTCGGAAAGTATTAGGTTAGGTACCTCTTCCGCGGTGACTCACGTCTAGTACGCTTCCACCGCTCTGGGGAAGTTACATACATAACCTCGTCATCCGGGCAGTTGATTAGGGCGGTCGTCAACGGGCCGCAGCGCGTGCCAGGAACTATTTGCTTTTTCCAGGCTAATTTAGTCATTTTTTCCAACTTTTCACTGTTTTGGCTACTTTTTCCCAGATTAGCAGCTCCTTATCTTCACAAGGTGGAAAAAATGACTAAATTAGCCTGGAAAAGCAAATAGTTCCTGGCACGCGCTGCGGCCCGTTGACGACCGCCCTAATCAACTGCCCGGATGACGAGGTTATGTCATGCACACATTGCATAGCGGGTGCGGGCTGGGAAATCCATGTAACGTAGACACCTAGAAAATCGTTCATTCCCGTTTATAAGCTGTCTGACTTGACCTCTGCAGTACTAAGTACGTAATCCTTACTACTTGTGTGTCACTCAATTAGGTCCTAGTGCGTATGCCACGCAGACAAAGCTTTCAACGCGCTTCGGCTCCTCCGCGCGACTCGGATCGCCTGACCTCTGCTTGAAGTAAGTGCCTACATTCGGCCTCTATTTATTTTACCATCACCTTTTCAAATTGAAAGAGAGAAGTGTAGAAACGGAGAGCAGAGAAGAAATCTCGGCAGTAGCGAACTCCCTAGTACCGGTAAACGTTCTAAGTTTTGAGGATTTGTAGTGAAACAGACGCTGGAAGCTATGGAGTCCCTCCATAAGACTGAATTCAACCGGTATGAGTCCTTAATTCCAGGTGGCAAAGGAGATGATGGTGTGTAATCCGCGAGCTGGTCTGATTCTCTCCACTGGTGCTGGTTCCGAGATTCAGTTCACCACTTCCGGTCTTTACAAGGAAGATGGCGAGAAGAATTACCATCGAATTTCTAACCTGTTTGATGTCGAGGTAGGTTTGTTTTGATCCCATCAGCTGAGAGATGAGAAAGAGCACGAAGTCAGAAAGGCAGTTTTATTCCTTAAGGCCTATGCCGATGCTTTCTACGCAGCTGCAACCGAACCTGTAGAGGTACGAGCAGCACATGGAAAGCGACTGAGTGAATTCATTTTGTCCAATGACATTGAACGGTTTGCATCAATTTCTCAAGCACTTATATAATGTCTTTTAGAAGTCAATAGTAATACCTTTTCAGGTGGAGTGCCGCCTTTTTGGATCCGAGCTGGACCCACCAAGTGATCCGGCCTACTCAGGTACACTGTACTTTCCTGTAATTCAGCTGAAGGGAGATTAAGTACTATTTAAATTTTCTGGAATATTCTGTACAGGGCTTGGAACTTAGCAATGCGAGAGAGTCTATACCTTTGAATTCCAATCGAAAAGGTTTGTACTTATTGCTCTTACCAGGTGAACACATTGGAGGACTTTTTCTCTCTGATGATGCGTACGAGGAATGTTCGACGGCAAATTGTAGATCGCGTACTGAAAGGAATTCCAATTCGTCAACATTTCATGATAAGCATCAGAAACGCCAAGGCCAGTCTCCTATCCTGTACTTTTCTGCTACTGATTACTAGTTCTTATAGGAAATGATTGAGCGTTTCGACCTCAAGTTTTGAATGCCCAAATTCCTGCCTAAATAAAACTTTATCAATCAAGTAACAGTAACTATTGCTACCAGCATGCTGCGTTCGTTCGTTCGTTTCGCTAGCATAGAAGTGTGAATATCTATAGACGAGGAAATCGGTGAATACCGCCATAGCATCTGCTTGGCTCCCGAAGCATTTCTACCCGAGGGAGATCGTCGACAGTACTTTACAGCCTTGATGACCTTGCTCAGATCTATCAAGTTGTGGTGGACTAAGCTATGTGCAGACCACCTAGCTACCACCATAGCGTTTTTCCGTGCTGCTTCGGCTTGGGGAAGTGCAAAAGAGTTTGATTCTTGTCCAGCAACTGACTCACTATCTTCCACAGCTACTTACAAAAAAGGCACAGAGGTCTTTGAACTTCCCTAAGCTCATGAGCAGGGTGCGGGCTACGACATGAGAGTTGCGGCGTAGAACCAAAAGGGTTTTGCATGTGACTTAGCTTTCGCGGTACATGCAATACGGATGGCAGCGAAAATAAATCATCAGGTGTGACGATCTGATCTGTCGCCGCTCCCCCCCCCCCCCCTCCCCGCAACTGGGATGTTCGACCCACATCCATTATGAGCCGAGACCTGTCTATTGCCTGCTCGACCAGCTGTCGCCGGGTGCTCCTACATTTATGTAACGCTGAAGTTCTACCGCCCCTTCAATCAGCCGAAATGCTGCTAATCCGATTTCTTAGTTTTGCTGCCCGCGCTATGAATTTAATGAGATTCAGACGACGCGTGCACACGTACAGACTTATAGACACATTCGGATCATATTTAGCTGGATAGTAATGTATAACGTTTCAGGATTCGCTGGAGAACAGCTGTGGTCCCGATTCACATACTCTAGTGTTACGTGCTTCGAATGAATCGCCAGATACAGCGAGATTCGACATAAAAAATGAACTCGATGAGTTTGAAAAGGTATTGTTGTAGAGAGCTACTTTTTTCGGACCCTCATACATCTCTAGGTACTTACACAGTAAACGAGAAAACTGCTGAAGGCCATAAAGTTGGTCGCACCGTCGCACAGTTGGGGGATATGAGCCAACGGGCCGCAGAAACCTCGGGAGAGGTTAGTCTCCGACTCCGCGTCAGCTTTTAGTGGCCTATGACTTGGAGAAGGGAGGCAAAGTCGGGGTGGATGAGCCATTTCACACATCCCTTCTTTCACAACTCAATAACTCACCTACCCTGGAGCTCCATGCCCCTTTGGATAACGCAAGCAACCTAAGCGCTCATAGCAAATTTCCTTGCAAACTTACGTACTGGTTTCTACTGGGATACTTTGCGTAAGCAAGAGATCAGTAGAAGTTCCATCAGCTTCTCGGAATCTGGATAATTTGTAAACGCGCGCTGAGTTATCAGGTAAGTTTGGGTTCCACATAATGACTAGGGAATTCATGACTTTGACCTGATTCCGCGTATATTCTGAAAAAGATATCGCACTGTCCTTGATTTAGGATCTCTCATTCATGGACTACGCTCAGAGTGAAGATGTTGATAACGTGGAACAGTTTGTAGACGTGAGTCTTCGTTTTCCTTTTTTTGTAATACGCTTTGGACATTGAGACATTGAACATTATGACATTTGAAGCACAGTTGCAAATAATAAGTTACGGTGATTTTTGCTGCAGATGCTGGACAGTGTCAGAGAAGCGGGCAAGCGACAACAGTTGATGGAAAACGGGCTGGCATTGCGCCAAACCCAATCTCTCTGACACGCCGTTGCGTCTGCAGCGAAAAAGATTACAGACAGACTCGTACTTTTGTACTGAGTTGAAAAGTGAGTGCTGCGTCAGGAGTCCTCGTTTGATCTCATGAATCAGTACCTATCAAAACAGACGTGTTTTCATTTTCTCTGCTAAACTCGGCATCAATAACGATTTGTGTTAATGTTGCTGACGTTGCTGGGGTTGCAACGGAATTGAGAGAACTCAGAGAAACTGAGGTGCTATTACATACTTGAACCCTCGACCCCTTTGTCGGCGAAAACACATTCGAGGTACAGCATCTTTGTGTGGAGCACATAGGGGGTACTTTTTGGCTGGGGAGCGGGGGATCATTGTTGGGAGGGGTGGGGGACGTGTATGTGCTTCAACAGAAATTTGCCGTGCTGGGAAAAAAATTCTCCCGGTTGTTGACTTTTCGTGATTTTTCGCGTGATTTTTCCTGTTTCATGTGTACTATGTATATATCTCCGCCCCACCCCCTCCTCCACCTCCGCTCGACGGAAAATTTGTGGGTGAAAAACTGGGAAATGTGGGCAATTGGTAGATTAGGTGGTGGGTAGAGAAGGGAGTCGCCGAGACCTCCCCAGGTAGGGGGACGGGCTCGCTCTAGAAGGGGGGTGGTCGTACGCATACAGCGGCCATTTTACATTTCGCGATGCGTACCGTGACCGCAACTGCTTGCAATCGGTACTGCTGCAGGAGTAGCTTCGGACATCCTTTCGCACGTCTTCTTCCATTTCTGGCACTGTTCCATTATTTTCCTTTCATCCTGAAAGATTAAAAGTCGAATCGAAACGTTGGTAAAGGCTGCATTTCTCAGTTCATTTGTTTACTAATAACTGGTAGTTTTCTTTGACAAACGTATTTTTGTTTTTGTAATTTTTTTTCTGGTTAATTTTTGGTTTTTCGCTCATTCGTCGGTGCTATTTGGCTTTTCTTTCTGCCCTGTGACGCGAATGACCGTGTCTATCAGTCGCGTACCACTGCAGGAACTAACGTCTTCGCTGTCATGTACTGATCACTCAACCATTAACGGGGACAGACAGCCAAACCCAAAATTTTCTCATGGATCCCTGATATTTTTCCCATAGTGATCATCATTCGACTACTGGCTGATCAGTGACTTCTCAGTGTACGCCACGTATCCGTCTACCACTCAGAACCTTTGCGGCACAAATGCCATTCGGACTATTCAATGAAATGCAGGAACCTCACAGAGTACCGGTCACTGTACTTATCCTCCAATGTAGGTCTAATGTCTGCTCATCGATCCATGAGAGATTAATGACCTTTTCGTCCTGCTAGGAATTTGATCCAGAACCATCAAACTCAGGATATGTAAAAAGTGGTGTCACTTGCCACTAAACTATGTCCGAAATTCGACATCGATACCCTCAAGAATTCACTCGCAATACGCCTTCTCAGCATCACTTCAATGGCGCTGTTGCCATGGTGCCGTCGTCACTTCGGACCAACTGAGCACCCCGCTCGACCGGCAAAGCGGCACGCAGAGCCCAGACGTTCCCCTATCTTTCCATTTCGTCCCATACTTCCATTCCTATCGTCTTTAAATGGGACTTCTAGACATCATCAAATCTTTCAAATCGAATAGTGGACGTGAAATCCGAATTCTACTACTGGGACTCGATAACGCTGGCAAAACTAGTATTCTAAAGCAGCTTTCGGCTGAAGAAATCACAAACGTCACACCAACTCGTGGATTCAACGTGAAGAGCGTAGTCACCAATGGCGACATCCGGCTCAACGTCTGGGATATTGGCGGACAACGATCAATACGACCGTTTTGGAGTAATTACTTTGAAAATACTGATGCGCTCATCTATGTAATTGATTCAAGTGATCGACGACGTTTCGATGAGACCAGCGTGGAGCTGATGGAACTACTGGATGAGGAGAAACTGAGGTATGTGGTCTTTTTCAGTCTCATTTCTTTGGTTGTCCCTGCCACCCAATCGTAGCCTACAGTAATCGGGTTGTAGTGGGCTCTGAGGATTACGCTCCTTTTTTGGTTTGAGGTTTCCAGAGAGCTTAGCAACGACTAGAAAAATCCCTGCAGACTATTGATTGCCCAAAATTTGCTACCGCTGATGCTTAGCCCTGATAATATCCCATTTCCATGCATATAAGAGAGTATCGCATGCTCCCCTTACCGAAGGCGTATAAAGGCGATGGAAGGAAAATCATCGCGCCCCTCATAATAGCGAACCCATACCGCATTCATTACGGCCCATCCAAACTCTTGCTCCGAACACAAGGTTATGCTCTTCATTAAAAAAGATCGGGCTGACGCATACACCGTAAATTTCTTTGCAGCTACCACCTCATTCTTTCCTATCCCACGTTCACACAAGTGGTTTTTGCTAGAATCTCACTTGTTTTCAATCCCTATTGCGAGGTTTTATAATGTGATTCCCACGTTCGTGCATCTCTAGGACAGTTATCCATGGCGACTATGAAAAGTGATCGGGACCTGCCTGCCACATTCATTTCCTAGCTTTTTTGGATAATAGGCCACATTTCGCATGATGCGAGAGGCACTAGAAGGTTATCTGAAGGTATCCCGTGTAACGTCCGCCGCGTGTGGCAGTGATGGGGTAAGGGGATAACATCATGCAACGTGTCTTGTGAAAAGTTGAGGACGGGCAAAGAAATCGTCCCGGGTTCTGGGTCTTGGATTGCGGCAAGTGACGTTGTCTGTCGCTAATGCTGCTAGCTGGTGATCGCTGAACTGACGGGTAGCTTCCCAGAGCATACCTGGATTGGTAGCGTCACTGACCAGCTCGCCGCGCACGCTCGCGTGGCTAACTGCGGACCTTTTAAACGGAGCACTCCATTTTCTTTATCTTGTGCTCTCTCCATGGGACTTTGCCTTACGTGTATAAAGACTTGATGGCGCATTCGCAGTAAGGCGAGGCTATCCAGTGCTTAGTACCATAGAGGATTCAAACTCCACATGATTAACTAGTCGGACAGGATCTTTTGCTTGTGCAGTTAGTAACTTCCGCGCTCCCCAGATCTCCCTTTGTTGGCTTTCCAGGGAGTGACGACTTTCCAGGGAGGTGGCTCTGCGGCCATTGCAAGCCTCTCTCAGAAGGGTATTGAAAATTTGAATCACTGCATTTTACGACCCTCCAGCCTTCCACTTGTCTCCGCATCCGAAGCCCCTACTTCTAGCCTGCTAAAGGAGATTATTATCACGCAGTCCACCGTTAGCAGGCATGCCGTGATATTGCCAGGATACCGTTTCCTCTCTTTCGGTAATCCCTTCGAAATGGATCTTGCTGGTATGCGTTTCTACACCACAGGGACAAATATGAGCAAATCGTCGCAAACCACTTGCAAAAACAGGGTGTGGTACTTGATATTCTCGTCCTTAAAATTAATTTCACGCTACTTTCGAGTTTCGTGACGGCTTGACATAACCGTGATTTACACCTTCGTTATCTTCCTCCGATTACCCAACTGATGGTGAGTCGCAGGCCGCTACGTGGCACCCACATTTTTGACCCTTACCCGTACACACGTCCATAGTTCGTTTCTAGACACACCCCACGCTGGTGGTATAGGCGGAGTCAGGCTTTCCTCACTCGTGTGCCCGTCTTGTTCTCCATCCTACATTTAACATCGTTGCAGTCACTCGGGGCGGTGTCAGGAGCATGAAAATCTGATCACTATTGGTAAAAACGCAGCCATGGGCCCATTCTACACCTCCTGACACTGTTCGCGACAGTATCGACTACCCAAAAGAGGGAGGTATTAATAAGGAAAGCACCACGGGAAGGTTGACTCCACCCTGTTGAACAACGTGGACTGTGCATTTGAGCATGGGAGCAGTAGCATTACCTCCTCCTCTATGATCTCCACTGCTTTGATTGCGATTTTCAATCCGTATTTCAGCCGTGTGCCAGTGTTGATATTCGCCAACAAGCAAGATTTGGTATCGTCTGCTCCGGCGTCAGAAATTTCAAAGCGTTTGAAGCTGACCGAGATTCGTGATCGAGTCTGGCAAATCCAAGGATGCTCAGCGCTCACTAATGAAGGTGTCTCCGAAGGAATCAAATGGGTCGCCGAAACAATCAAATCTAAATAAATTGTAGTCATTTATAGCGAATAAATAAATTTTCAACTTTTTTTTGGTTCTGTTTTCCCGCAGCTGTAAACCTGTACTCAACACAGCTCTGTATGATGCGAACTGTTTTTGCAAATATCAATTGGGTATGCTCTTCTAATTTTCTTTAACCTTTTTGTAATTTTTTATTATTTTTCTACGATATTCTTGTATTTCAGACTCTGACCAGTTCTCATCCAGTATCTGAGGAGAAGTTCAAGGAAGAAGTTGAAAAGGTAGGTGTCCAGTTTCCATGCTTTTCTGTGAAGTGATCTAGAAGTGGCCGAGTTGTACTGCAGTGGGGAGGGGAGGTGATCGTTAGAACTTTCGCTAGCACGCTGTCTGCATTCTATCCCAGGATTAGCTTATTTCTTTCCAGTAATAAACAAATTAATATTATCATTCCAGGCTGTAGACTTATTGTACGATGCGGATCATCTCTATTACTTCTTTACGGATCGAGATGGCACCCTGAAAAGCTATGCCTGCAGCTATCCATCCAGTATCCAACCGGCTTACTCAGGAGTAATTCAGGTATCTTTCTCGCTAGCTGTAAAGAAAACGGAGGGGCTTAATCGATAACTCCTGTGGGAGGAGGGGTTTAGTAACTCTTGTCGGGTATAGTTGCCCCGTAGTAATAGTCATGGCAAGGAGATGCCGTGCACTCGGTGCTCGCTACGCCTTCAACCTTGCGAGTGAGGGCGATGAGTTACCTTTGTCCACGGCCGCCCGCTTGCAAAGGATTCTGCATGGTTAGATGTGCGCAGGTATTCGCGTACAACAAGCCCTTTAGTACTGCTACTTTAAAGGCACAGTTCGCGACCGCAAATTGCGGGAAACGGAACTCAAATAGGCACAAAAAAGTGCTAAGTATCTGATTAGCGGAGAAAAGCAGCAGAAAAAGCAGTCCGAAATGTTATAGAGAAAGATAACATAGTGGCTACTAGCTAGTAGCTAGCAGCCGGTGAGGGTCGGCATGGGCCTAAGGGGTGTCCATGGG